AATTTCCATGTACACAGCACTGAATACATTATAGGTGCAATTTTATGTAATGAAAACTAAGCTAATCACAGTCATAGTTACTTCAAATTCATTTTCCAGATCATAATATTTTTATTCCTTATATTTATTGGTACAATTTAGGTATATATTATGATTTAATTCATCCTTGGGAATATGTTCCTGTAAGTGATACATCTTACTTCTTCCTTTTTCCTATTCCCTTATCTCCCATTTAGCCCTCCACCCTTCCAAATTTACCAAAAAATTTATTTCATTTTTTCACTTTTTTTCCTGATATATTTTTCCCTCCTTTCCTTTCCCCTTTGAAATTAAGGAGTTGGTAAGGGCCTAGGAAGTAATCTCTCTAACCTTCCTCTAATAACACTTCTCAGGATCTGCTTTTACCCTCAATACTGGCTGCATCAATTGCCATTCATTCTTAAAATATTACACAGGAAATAGGTCATAACCTGGAAATAGCTCTCTGGCCTACTACCAGCATTTCTGTGCACAAGCTAGCCACAAAAAATTCTATGACCTAACTCATGTGGAAATATGTCATCTAACCCGATTCTGGAAGGATCTTGATGTGTACTCAAAGGAAGAAAATGCTGTACAAAATGGCCAGGAAGAACACAGAATATGAGACCACGTGAGGTCCTCTGTCCTCACAGAGGATTATTATGCCATCAATTATCATGTTCTAATGCCAATTCTATAGGGCAGTCCATGCTTAATTTCACATTTCGATAGAAATTATTAACTTTACTTGTATCTTTGGGTCTTCGTTTCAACAGTTGCATATCCCTTGTAAAAATTTTTAAATTGCAGCACAATTAGTAATACAGTATAATGAAATTTGTTTTGGTATATGAATACATGCATATGATAGATTTATAATCAGTAGCTCTAATTGTTTTCTAATTGTTTAATGTTGTTTAAAATTGTATATCAGTAAATCAATTAGTAAATCAATTTGTATCAATGTGATTATACAAATTAAGTTTTGCAATTTAGGATTTTAATAAAATTTTATTTAATTATTTCTCTTAATGCTATTTTAATAAAGTAAAGTCAATTTTTAGGACTTAATTTTACAATTTATAATTAATTCAAAATCTTCAATTACTTTATTCAAATCTTAAAATGTTTTATTTTCCTCTATTTTCTTAATAATATCAAAATTTTGCCTCATGTCAATGCCATTTATAATTAATTTATTTTTACTTTTCTATTTGTGTTATCTGGAATCTATATTTATATGTATTACTATTTGTTTTTTAAATTACAAATAAGTAATAAGTAAACATTTATTATTCAGTAAATTGCTTTTTTCTCTCATTTCTCTTTGTTAGTATCTTGTTCTATTTCTTATATTTATGGATTATGTTTACTTTTTGAGTCATTTTTTATGAGATGTGATTTTACTTTGGTTTAACTTATGTGTGTTTCTACGTTTTAGACAATTTGTATATAGTAGAAATATATATGTAGTTTGTGTTGGAAAGATGGTCAATAGAATGTAAAACTTGTAAACAATATTTAAATTTAATAAAATTGAAATTTTTAACTAAATTAAAACTACCATATCTTCTTTGTCACATTGTTCAGGAAGTATTTGTATTGTAATTATACATACATTGTGCTTGTACTTCTGCTGAGGGAAGGAGGGAGAGAGTATAATTATATTGTATAAGCAACATGACTGATTTAGATAATTGCATTTGCCTTTTGTTTCCATACTGTATTAGTGCATATCATATTTTATAATGATTCAGGAAGTAATTTAAAATATAGTTCTCTGGTCCATGATGTCATGCCAGAACACATGTAATGCAATCAAGAATTTTTTACAAAATCTAATGTATCATGGAAAAATAGTAACAGTTATCTTTGATACTAAATAATTGATAGGTAGAAAGTAATAGTAGCATTACAATGAGGCATTAAAATGTTCTAGACAGGATTTGAGGTGCTTCATATGTAAGTATTTAAATTTAGTTTTACAAGATAAATCTTTGTTAGGTACTAGTAACATAAATTTTAATTTCACATAGTTACCATTTTGATATTCAGAGAAAGTCTAAATAATTTTTTAATTTTTTACAATTTGCATAGTACATATTCACAGTACATATGATGACATTTATCATGAGGACTTGGTACATGCACCTAGCACCTCATTATTCTTTTAATGTCTCCTAACCTTTTGCTCCCTCCCATCTGGCTCCATCTCTTGATTTCCTTTCCGTTTGCAAAAGATCTGTCTCACCATTTCCTATTAGCATTTATTTTTCTCTTTGCATTATTATAGTTTGGTTTCTCATATAAAAGAAACTATTTAAGCTTGTATGTGATTTATCTTACTCAACATTACTATTTTAAGTGGATCTGACATTTTCTACCCTTTCCACATGCATAAGATGATTTTAAATGTGGAATAGATTGAGAAAAATTCAAACATTTTGCTACCTTTTTGGCTTAAGGAAATATCACTTCAATTGTACAATTATTATTATTATTATTATTTTTAGCCAGTGACCTTTATTATTTATTTATAAAGTATAATTAAAATTATATGTATAGTGACTTTAATTCCAGTGTTCACTCAGCAGCCTTTTATCTTTATTCACATGTATACCAACTGTTAAAGTTGTAGTCAGGCATTTGAACATTTTACTGTTAAAAAACGCTACTAGTAAACATATTTGTAAAGGGTTTTTTTTCTTTTTTAAATTGTTTCCTTAGGGTAAGACTTATTAGATCAAAGTGTACATATGCATTTATGGCTCTTGATGTAGATTAGCCTTCAAGAGAACTGAATCAAGTTTCTTAGCCATCAGCGATGCATGAGGATAGCTTCCCCTTCTTGCTGGCCTTGCTCTAGTTGTCAAGTTGTCCATGTGAAGTGAAACTACTGCATGCCAACATCCAGCCCTACTAACTGTCCTGCTTGTCTTGGTTCCCTCAACTAAGCCATAAGCTTGGTGGCTGGCACTGTTCATCTGTCTGATGGAGTTTAGTGTCAGAAACTCAAATAGGGCTAGGTGTCCTTGAGATGACCTGGGGTCCACTCCCCCCCTTCCCTATGTACCCCATTTCCCAAAATTATGATTCAGTCTTGAGCCCATAGTCCTCTCAGTACAGTGATTTCCAATGCACATTATTTCAAGTATATCCTAAGAATCTTGCCAAGGTGTTCCAGGGCCCACTTTATTGAGGGTCCCTGAAATTAGCCTACCAGTTTGTAGATAAGCACTGGTTTGTTAATTATTCCCTCTAGAAATCTTAATTTAAACTAGTAATTTCTCAAGCAAATGCTTGATTGTGCTAAAACTAACACTCTTCATTGTGCTAAAACTATAGCCAGCCTAGGCCATGTGTCAAAATCTGACTGAAGTCAGAATTTACAAGGTCTTAGAGCAAAAGGAATGTGTACTTGATTTCCTTTTCTTTTTTTTGGTACCGGGGATCGAGCTCGGGTCCTTGAGCTTGTACAGTTGGTGGAGAAACCACTGAGCTAAATCCTCGGCCCCAGGAATGTGTACTTGATACCTCTACGTGTGACCCCAGTAGTGCTCCAAGTGGCTCCAGTGAGAGGGCTCATTCAGTTCAGCCAGCTGAAGAGAAACGTCCTAGTTATATCCTGGGATGAGATATTCATCGGAATAAGTAGGCTCTGGAGCAGAGGTATTTTCTCAGAGGAAAAAGTACTGAACAACACTGGGCGAAACCACCAAAATGAAAACATAACTGCCAGGCACTAGCTACAAGGCCACACCAAATGAGGAAAACTAGGCTCTGTAGCACTGGGAGGATGGGAGCCATTCCTAGTCATCTTTTCCCCAGCACGGAGCACATACTAAGGTGCTCAGTTAGTGTTGAGTGAATGTGACTGCTCAGGAATATTTCCTGACAGCTGGGAGGAACTTAAACCTGTAAGTTCCCTTTTGGAAAGTCTCAACTGTGGGTTCCTATCTTCAAGAAGACACAATGAGGGAGGCCTCATAAGGGAACACAGACTGGCAGAAGGGAGTAGGGTGCATGCTAGCTCAGAATGTTGAAACCCTTCCAAAGGCAGTAACTTCCTGACTCCACTACACAGCAGCAACCTGATGCAGAGTTCAAAGCCAGAAGAGATTATATGAAAGCAGTTTGAGGATGTGGAGCTGCCCTAGGCTGCATGCAGTCACCTGCCAGACTCTACCCTTCTTGCTGGAACACCACCTTGCTTTGCATCCCTGCAGTGGGCCCCAGCACACTTGCCACAGCAACAGGCTCTGTCCTACATGGGCCCTGGCTTGATGACCACCCAGAAGCACCCAGCTGCTGGACCAGTGAGTGCCTGTGCCCTCAGCTGAGCCTACATGGTGACATCTTCCAGCAAGGCTTGGATGTTTGCCTCAGGCCCCTCACATCAGCCACTGCTCCTTCTCCTTGATGAAGTGCTCTGCCCAGCAGTGGGTCAGCTCCAGGTACAGGCTGGGCTGATGGGGCAGATAGTCCAAATACAGGCGAGTGGGAGTCTTCTTGGGAATGGCCTTCTCCATCTGTGTGCCTTCATGCCACTCATTGAAAGAAGGGATGGAGATGATCTCTGACCTCACTGTAAGGGCTGCCTGTAGTGCCATCTCATAGTACTTGCCATTGACCCTGTTAGGAGTATTGTGGTTGTTCCAGGCCCGGATGCTGGTGTCAATGTAGCCAGGTCCCACACTGGGAATGAACATGAGATTGTTGGCATCACGAAAGTTCTTCACAGCTTTCCAGTTCTGATGGGATGAGCCAAAGGAGAAACCATTGAAGGCAAAGTAGGTGTACATGCTATCAAATCCTGCCTCGAGGATGTCATGGGTGTGGCCCTCCTCTACCAGCAGCGCTATGAAGACTCCATCATAGGGTGTGTTGTGGATTGAGTGGGGCCCATTTGGTGTCAGGAGGTGCACCCAAGCCTCAGGGGTTGTCAGGTGTGAGTCGTAGATATAAAAGAGTGGGAGGCTTTTGCCCATGCTATTCTTATAGTGGTAAAATGCACCATGGGAGCCATACATGTCAATGATGTACTTGATGTTGTCATGTACAGTGATGTCATCCCAGCCCTTGTAAGGTTGGATGTGGAAGGCCACCTGGATGTTGTACTGATGGGCAGTGTCTAGAATGGCAGGTACCAGGTCATCTGAGCGTTCCCCATTATCATCAGCCATGCCAGGTGGGTACCAGGAGAGGATCAGGACGCCGATGGCGGCTTCCTTGAGCTGGGTCATATGTTCCCACAGCATGTCGGGGTCCCGGGTGCCGCAGACCAGCTGCAGTCGATGCAGGGTAGGAAGGGGAGAGGTCTCAGGCCGGCGAGTGAGAAAAGAACCTTCGCAAGCAATGTGCAGGTTCCCTCTGAGAAGTCTCAGGGTCTGATTTATTTTTATATCTTTAAGCAATGGCTAGGAGGCATTGGGCAGAACATGTTTACATTTTAGGTTGCCTTAGCAATTTCTATAGAAATAAAGGTTATTTTTTACTAAACAAAGTATATTTTTCCTAAGCTGATTCATTTCATTGAACATCATGAATACATTTAAAAATTACAATTGTCCCCTTATTTACCCACACCTAAGCAGAACAGAAAGTAACTTAATCAAAATCTCTATATCAGCGGGGATACAAGCAAGATTTAGTTAATTAAATGTCAAACTTGTGGTCGTCAGCTGGCCCTTGAGAAACTGCACAATGGTTAATATAGTTTGCTATTAGCTCTCTATTTTTTCTATACCTCTATTCATCTTGCTTAAATGTTATTTGGGTTCATGGTCCATGAGCAGGAAATGTTTACAGTACTTTGAGAAAAGCTGAGTAACTTGCCTCCTTAGTGTATTTATCTGTCTTAACTTTCTTTCTATTTCCCATTTTCTACTGTGTCTTACATCTAAAATCTGTCCTTTCAATCTCTTTATAAGACCCCTTTAGTAAAAAGAAAGTCATTAATAGAGGAAAGGAGTTACAGTGTCAGGAAAACAGAGGGAGTTTTAGGAGGGGTTTCTTTAGAAGTGGGTGTGACAATAGAACTGAGAGAAACAGGAATTTGGGACTTTTGAGCCAGATCAGATTTCAATACAACATTGCCAATTTGCATCATGGAGAATATGTTGTTAGTCACAAATACAATGATTCCTGTGACCAGAGTAACAATTGTAAACATTAGGGCAAGAAAAAAATAAAACATGAGGGTACGATGTGTTCCACCCTCCTTTTCCCCCAGCTGGAACTTTGTCAAGCAGCATTGGAGGTTGGTCGGGCTTCGCCACCCGGGAGCTGTAGGGGCCCAGCTGCGGGTAGAAGCTGGAGCCCAAGTTGTCCGGGGGGCTGTGGTGGCCGCGGGGATAGCTGGCCGATATCTTGGGGTCCCAGTATGGCACCATAACGTGGTCCCAGTGGATGTAGTGGCTCCCTTAGCATGAGTAGTACAAGGCGTGCAGGTCGGAGTAGACTCCCAGGCTCTGCCCGGGGACTGGCTCGGCCTCCGCGGGGACCGGGCCGGGCAAGCTGCGGGGCTCCACCATGCGGGGCTGTGGCGGCGGGGGTGCGGCGGGCATGGCAGGGGCCTGGGCGGGTGCAGGGGCCGTCTCCACACATCGCTCAAAGGGCGCCGGCTCCAGAGCTGGGCCCAGCGCGGGGAGTCCATCTGGGACCTTCAGCGTGCGCAAGCCCATGAGGGTGCCAAAGGCGAAGAGCAGCACCAGGAACAGCACGATGCAGGTGCGGCGCCACCGCTGAGCCATAGCCTCCCCTGCACCCCAGGCCAGGCCCCGCTATCTCTCGTCCTGCTGCGCCATGGCTCCAATTGTACAATTATTGATGTACCTTCCTGGAGTCAAGGGAATATAGATGAAGCATAGATTTAATAGAAGGCACTAATGTTCAGTGTTTAGCAGAGCAATATCATTAACCAACAGACTGCATATTTTCTTCTTGAGTTCTACTCATCAAACAATAGAAACCAAAATTTTGCTGAGTTCTTGCCGGTTGACAATAACTCCTACTTTCATCTGTACACGCATCTCTTCTTACTTTATCATTCATGATGACTTTGTTTTCTAATTTTTAATTTTATCCATACCCAGTTGCAGTACACAGTGATTACATTCATTGTGGAGTGTTGTTACATATACATTGCACATCTTTATTCATTTTACATCCCCTACACTCCTCCCCTCCATTTCTGAGTCCCCTTCTCATTTACAAATATTTGTCTCCTAGGACTATTTGCAAAATTTCAGAACTCAAAATCAACTTTGAATGTATTATTTTATATTATGCACTTTAGCCATTTAACATACAGTATAAAACCCTTTAGTCTTGCATACTTCATAAGTGAATTTATAAAAGATTTAACTGTTTCCTTTTATCCATATATTATTTTGATTTTTTAATTGATTTATACTTTGGTTTCTTATAAAAGAAAAACTATGTAATATTTAAGCTTTGTATCTAGTTTATTGCACTTAATGCTATGGTCATAAATGAATTCTTTTTCCTACAAATGACTCAAATCTATCCTTCTTTATGGAAAAGAAATATCATGTATATATGCTAGGTTTTCTTTTTCAACTCATCCATTGGTGAACATCTACGCCACTCCCAAGATTTATCTGGTCTTCAGAGAAATGCAAATTAAAACCATAGTCAACTCTGTAATAAAAACAGTGTGGTACTGGCAAAGAAACAGACTGGAGAATCAGTGGAATAGATTAGAAGATGCAAAACAACTGCAGACACATTCAGCCACCTCATCTTTGACAAAGGAGCCAACCACCCTCATTGGAGGAAAGATAGCCTATTTAATAAATGGTGTTGGAAAAACTGGATTTCAACCTGCCACAGATTAAAACTAGACCCATATTTATCACCACACACTAAACTAAAATTGGAGTGCATTAAAGATCTAAATACTAAAAGAGAAACACTAAACTTGCTGGAAGATAAGTTAGGTAGAACTCTTGAGGACATTGGTTATAGGAAAAGACTTTATGAACAAAACCTCAGTAGCACAGGAACTAGCACACAGAATCAACAACTGGGATATCATCTTATTAAAAAGCTTCTGCACTGCAAGAGAAGCCACCAACAGAACTAAGAGACAACCTACAATGTGGGAAAAAATTTTCAGCAACTGTACCTTAGACAAAGGACTACTATCTAGAATATAAAAAGAACTTTAAAAAAATCAGACCGCCCTCAAATTTAATGACCCAATTCAAAAATGGGCATCTGAAATGAACAGATATTTCTCAGACAAAGAAGTAAAAGAGGCAAATAAACATAGGAAAAACTCTTGAACATCACTGGTCATTCAACAGATGTAAATGAAAGCAACACTGTGATTACACCTCACTCCAGAGAGAATGGCTGTTATCATGAAATCAACCAATAATAAATGTTGGCGGGGTTCTGGTGAGAAAGGAACCCTTTTTCTTTATCAGTGGGAGTGTAAACTAATGCAACCACTGTGGAAATCAGTATGGAGATACCTCACAAAACCAGAATTAGAGGTCCCATGTGACCTACCTATTCCTCTACTGGGTATTTTCCCCCCAAAATTAACAGAATCATACTACAGTGATATACACACACCCATGTTTATTGTGGCACAGTTTTGAACAGCTAAAGCTTGGAAACAGCCCAAGTGCCAATCAACTGGAGGCTGGATAGAGAAAATATGATTTTTTTAAATAAAATAGAGTACTACTCAGCCATAAAGAATGAGAAATTAAAGACATTTATAGGTAAATGGATGCACATTGAGGACATACTTTTAAGTGAAATAAATAGGACACACATGTGGAAATACCGAATACTTTCTCTGGTGTGAGAAACTCAAAATGTAAAAATGAATAATTGATAATGTGAAATAGGAAGAAAAGTTCCAAAGGGGTAAGGGAAATGAGGAGTAAGGGAAAGGAATGACAGGAAAGGAAAAAAACATGAGAAAAAAATGGAAAAAAACCTTTGTAAATAGGGAGGTGTGGAGGGGTTGAAGGGAGGGCAGGGGAATGGGGAAAAACTAGGACAAAATACATCATGTAAAGGTGCAAGTTCAGAATGATGAATGTAAATGTATTGTATAACTAAAATGTACCAATAAAAGAATTTAATAGAAAAAAAAACACAGTGAGCTTTCATTTTATTGCAGAAAGAATGATCACCAAAAAAGAAGAATTCAAATCATAAAAAAAAATTCTGGTAAGGCTGTAATAAAAAAGAAACCCTTCTACATTTTGGGTGGGAATGTAAACTAGTGCAATGGCCGTGGGAATCAGTATGGAGCTTCCTCAAAAATTAAAAATCAAAATTTCATTTGATTCATTCATTTGATTTGGAGGTATCTTCCTGAAAGATTATGGGACATTATGATGCAGGCACACCCAACTTTATAACAGCACAACTCATAGTATCTCACTTTGCCTTGAATTCAGGACCACCTAGCACTCCCTATAAATATTAGCCTTGGTGCCTTCTGGAACATTTCCATCATTTCTTATTCCTGAAATGTCATTTTCCAAAGTACATATTGTGAGACCTGAGTCAAGTTAGCATCCGTGCCCCCATTTCTAGTAAAATCTCCATTTATGCATGGCACTGACCTCTGCCTGAACCCCCAGGTAGTTTACCAAGATAATAAGTGTTATTGTCAGGATAAAAACTGCAGAGCCGGGGATTTACCTCAGTGGTTTCACCGCCTGCTGCGCAAGCGCAGGGTCTGGAGTTCGATCTCCGGTACCAAAACAAACAAACAAAAAAGATAAAAACTGCAAAATGTACTCTTCTGTAACTGCGCTTGACACTCCTGCCCTCACTACTTACTGCGCTAACCGATTGAGCCACTAGAGCTCTAGAGAGCCAACTTCCTGGTTCTGAAACTGCTTTAAAACCTGCAGCTGAAAGAAGTCCGGGGTCCTTCTCTGGGGCTGCGTCCTTGAGCTTGGACCCAGGCCAGCGAAATAAAAACTTGGCATTCAATCTTTTGACTCGCTGACCATTTGTTGGCACAACAATATAACTATCTATTTTTTTTAAAAGAAAACTTTCCCTCACTGCTGTTTTTAAAATTGCATCTGTCCACATTTTCTTTTTTGCTGTACTGTTTTTCACAAGTTATTGCCATCTGACCTTTCTATGTAATTCACCAGTTCCATTTGTTTTAAGCCTGTTTTCCCTGTTCATGCAACATGAACGTCTGTTCCACCAAAAACAGTAAACTCTATGTGATTCTGCAATCCTCACACCCACAGTGCCAGTTCAGCTACAAGTCCCCCGGCCACCTGCCTTGAGTGTGCTTAAGAGTGGGAGGTTCCTGCCCCTGTGTGTGCAATATGTGGAAACCAGGCCCTCCCTCAGCTGGTCCTGCTGAGATTCCCAGTCTGGAAACTGGCCAAGGCTGTGGGGTCATAAATTTGTGTGTTCTGTGTAACGCTGGCACCAGAGATTTGTGACTCTTCCTTCCTGTTAGTGCTATGTCTGGAGCAATTCTGCTGATTTTAGTCAGACTCTGTGGCCTTAGGTATCTCAGTGTTCAAATAAGCTTCCTTTGTTGGCTCCTGGAAGTTTTTCATGTTAACATTGTGTCCAAGTATAATCTTTTCAGATTCTCATTTGCTAATTTCCATATGTGTACCTAGGCATCTTTATTGTTTAAATGTTTTATCTCCTAGTGTGTGTTTTACTGTTCATTCTGGGATATTGAGATTTTTTTTAACAAATGTTTCCCCTGCCACTTATGATTTCATTTCACTCAATTCTTTTTATTATTTTTTTTTTTTTTTTTTTTTTTTTTTTTTTAGCAGTGTTGACTTTCAAATCTGGCAATCTTTGTCTGCTCATCTGCAAAACTGACTCAAGAAAAGAATATTCTGGTGTCAAAGATAATCACTTAATCATATTCTGTCTCAGATGTGACCACTCCACCGAGTGTGTGCTACACTTTCTCTTAGGTGTATCCAATTCACAGCACCTCCTACATCCCCTTCTCCCCTTGGCTTCTCTCCAGGATGTTTGTAGTTTCGAATATTATTCTCTATTTCTCTCCCACCTAGTGAACCTTCAACTGTGTTTGTAATTATAAATACATAAAAATCTTGTGTAAATACTTTCATTATTTAAATTTAAATTTGCTAATCTATATATTGATAAATTTTCATAATTATTTCCAACTAGTCTCTCAGGATAGAAAATAAAAAATTGATGAAAAAATTATTTGTATCTGTTACAGTTCTTTTCTAGGCATGTATGTGTGGAGCATACATACGTACAAACACACACATATATACACATATTAGACATATGTATGTATATTTTAACTTGTATCATTTCAATCTACAACTTAATATGAATAAATCATATATTGGTACCCATATTTCACAAAATTACATGGTCCATGAAATCTTACAAAATTTACCTCCTATTTATCCTTCGGCATATTTGTTTTTTTTACGCTTGTCTTTTTGATGGATAATTCTCCAAGAAGCTCAAAATTTATACTTTAATTTTAATAGAGCATTTTATTAAAAAAGGAATAAAAGTTTAATCCATATTAAGTGTTTTTAAACAGGGACAAGTTGACACAGATGGAGTTTTGCTGTAGCGCACAAAAACAACACATTTCTGCTATATTGTTAGTTAAGCTGGCTTACAGTCCATGGACAAATGTGCTACAGTAATTATTCATTCCAAGTTAAGTTTGGGAGCTCTTTCCACTTCAGTGCCATTGAATGTTGGAAGACTT